TATTGCACGATTTGATAAAGAATTGACGACACAGCGTCGGTTTGAACGAACGGTACTATGGCAGCCACTATAGTCTTAGAACACAAGATAGGAAGAGTTACGAGTTGGGAATGACTCCCAGCTCCTACAAACCCCAAGAGCCGAGGTACAGTGATGTGGAACAGTGCCACACTGTCCCCAACCACGAAGGGTCTCGAAACTACCCTTCACTAGGGCCTACACCAAGTGAAATGTTACACTACACAAAGTAATGTAACTATCTTCAATATCTTGAGGTGTACCCTTTTGGCAAGCTTCGAAATCACTTGAGGCTTGACATTAAGGCTCGGGCTCTTCATCACAAACTCATCCTTGAGTTCTTGATGGGTCTGCTGCACACACCTGCGACACGCCGAACGTTCGACACAGGACAAAATAGAAACCGCGCACGACAAAATAGAAACCGCGCGCGAGACACAAACGACCGCGTAACACGCGTCTAGCGATAACTCGCTATTGACTCGACACACACACTCGACATCATGACTCAACATTCACACACAATTATAAGCATGAAATATATATTATCCCATGCCCTCATACCATTCCATACACACACACATTCACGCACACGGACAACAAGCCGAGTGCAAACCGTAGGGTTGCACCAACAACAGGGTCTAAGGGTCGGGGCTAGGGGGGAAGGGTCGTGGGGCCAGGAGCGACGGGCCTCGGGGCCTTGGGGCGATGGGCCACTGGGCCAGGAGAGACGGGCCGAGGGGCCGGGGGCCTAGGGGCAACGGGCCGCGGGGCCAGGAACGACGGGCCAAAGGGGGCCGGGGGCCTAGGGGCGACAAGCCGCGGGGCCTAGGGGTGACGGGCCACAAGGCCAGGAGCAACGGGCCGAGGGGCCGGGGCCCTAGGGGCGATGGGCCGCTGGGCCAGGAACGACGGGCCAAAGGGCCGGGGGCCTAGGGGCGACAGGCAGCGGGGCCTAGTGGCAACTGGCCACGGGGCCAGGAGCAACGGGCCGAGGGGTCGGGGTCCTAGGGGAGACGGGCCGCGGGGCCAGGAACGAAGGGCCGAGGGGCCAGGGGCCTAGGGGCGACGGGCCGCGGGGCCAGGAACGAAGGGCCGAGGGGCCGGGAGCCTAGGGGCGACGGGCCGCGGGGCTAGGAACGAGGGGCCGAGGGGCCGGGGGCCTAGGGGCGACGGGCTGCGGGGCCATGAACGACGGGCCTCGGGGGGGCAAAGGGCGACGGGCAGCGGGGCCTAGGGGCGACGGGCCGTGGGGCCTAGGGGCGTCGGGCCGCGGGGCGACGGGCTACGGGCCGGGCGGGGGGGGGGACGGGCGACGGGCCGCGGGGCGACGGGCCTAGGTGGCGACAGGCGACGGGCCGGGGGCGACGGGCCTAGGGCGACGGGCCGCGGGGCCAGGAGCAAAGGGCCGAGGGGCCGGGGGCCTAGGGGCAACGGGCCGCGGGGCCAGGAACGACGAACCTCGGGGGGCCTAAGGGCGAGGGGCCGCGGGGCGACGGGCCTAGGTGGCGACAGGCGACGGGCCTAGGGCGACGGGCCGCGGGGCCAGGAGCAAAGGGCCGAGGGGCCGGGGGCCTAGGGGCGACGGGCCGCGGGGCCAGGAACGACGGGCCTCGGGGGGGCCTAAGGGCGACGGGCCGCGGGGCGACGGGCTACAGGCCGTGGGGCGACGGGCCTAGGTGGCGACGGGCGACGGGCCGGGGGCGACGGGCCTAGGGTGACGGGCCGAGGCGACGGGCTAGTGGCGACGGGCCTAGGGGCTCAATGGTCGCGACAAGAAGTAGGGGCAGCACGAGGGCTGCAGAGGGCGGCTAGCGGGGTAGCGCTATGGTGGGCCCAAGGAAAAGCGGTCCTAGTGGAGGACCTGCTCTGAAACCATGTTAGAAGAATGAACGAGAATGGATGCATTGAGCAGAAAGTTGGGTACAAGTACTAACCCTAATTGGGTTGTACCCCTTATTGGCTACCCCAGTATAGCCTACACAAGTGTAAGCACTGTAATGTTCTGACAACCGACGCCAGCGACATCGCCATTGGAGTTGTACTGCTACAAGATTTCGGCAACGGCCTACCGCCCATCGCATACGAGTCACGAAAATTGCATCTGCCCGAAAAAAAAAATATCCGATACACGACTGCAAAATGTTCGCGATCGTACACGCGTTCAAACTGTGGCGCTGTTACTTGACCGGCGCAGACATGACAGTAGGGACAGACCACAGATCGCTACAGTACCTTCGCGCGCAACCCCACCTCAACCCACGACAGATCTGCTGGCTCGAATTTCTCGAGTCAAACTTCCACTACACAGTCACCTACAAAATAGGAGCCTCGAACATCGCTGACGCACTGACCTGCCCAACTTCCTAGATACACGCGATGCTACTCGCCCAAACCAGCCCACTGCTCACAGGACTATTCACCCACGGATATCAAACAGACTCGTTCTTCACAGGAGGAAACTCGCAGCAGTTTGCAACAGCAAAAGGGATCTATTACGTAAAAGCCTGCACCGATCACATCTGGGTATCGGGTTACACACTACTACGGGAATTGCTGCTACAGGAAGCACATGACGGAGTTACCTCGGGGCATTTCGGGGTCGAAAAAACACGCCAGTGGCTACAGCGATATCACTACTGGCCCGAGATGCTGACCGACGTGCAACGACACGTGACATCGTGTCCCACCTGCCAGCTCATGAAGTCGTCACGACAACGACCGGCAGGGAAATTGCAGCCCATACCACCCCTAGAGCATGCTTGGCAACAAGTGACGATGGACTTCGTCACGGGGTTACTTGCTGGAGCGAGTGGGAACGACGCGATCCTGGTCGTCGACGATCGGCTGACGAAGATGGCACATTTCGCAGCCTGCAAGAAATCGATCTCAGCCGAGGAAACAGCCCGACTCTTCATCGCCACCGCCATTCGACTACACGTGATACCAGCGGCAATCATCAGCGATCGCGATATGGAATTCACCAGCAACTTCTGGAGGAACATGTGGCAGCAGTTTGGCACGCGACTACAGTTCAGTTCGTCGTACCACCCCGAAACCGACGGTCAAACGGAACAGACCAATCAGACCATGGGGCAGTTGATTCGAGCCACGTGCGACGACTTGGCAACATGGGAACAACAACTGCCACTAATCGAATTCGCATACAACAACTCCACGTCAGCCACGATGCAGCTGTCACCGTTCTACCTCAACCACGGACAGAACCCTATAGTACCCATGACACCGAATCCCGACAACCCAGTACCACACATGCAACAATTCGCCGAAATATTACAGGCAGCCAGGACCCGAGCAGTAGAAGCCATTAAAAAATCGAACGACATCGCTAAGCGCAACGCCGTTCGCCACCGCCGCCCTGTCACTTACCAACCCGACGACCTCATACTCATCGACACCCAGAATCTCCGCCTGCCCATAACCCCAAAACTCCGCCCCCAATATTGTGGGCCATTTCGCATCAGCCACATCGTAGCACCCGTCACTGCCCACCTCCTCCTGCCCGCCGACTGGTACGTCAGCCCATCGTTCCACGTCAGCCTCCTCTGCCCTTACGTCCCATGAACAAGCCAACTGCCACGCAGTTGCCCATCCAGCATGATGCGACCACCCACTGAGCCGCCGAGTTCGAGACCCACATGGAGCCCGTAGGATCGAGTTCCTGATTCGCTGGAATGACCGCACCCCCACAGAAGAGAACTGGGTGCCCTTGGATAAAATCGAAAACCACCCCGTCTTCACCGAGTATCTGCGCAGCAGCAATTTCCGGGATGTACACGCACTCTCGTAAGGGGAGCCTCCTTGGGGAGGGGGTTAGTGTAAGGAAAAATAAATTTCCTTACTTCGCGTCCCTGCTTACCGCGTACATGACTGTTCCCGCCAGCAGCACCCTACAGTAAAACGTTACCCGCTCACGGCACTCACCTCGACCACTGTTCCCGCCACTGTACACATCGCGACCCAACCTCACAGTTCAGTTGGTAACCTGCGCTCCGGACCTTTGCCTCGACAATTCCCAACCTCAGTGCCAGGCCCGTCGCTCACCCCACACCTCGCGCGTTACCGTTACCACGCTTGGCTTCGCTATATAGTGTTCGCTCATTCCTTTGCTCATTGTATTCTTGCCTCGTAGTGCAATCCTCGTTCGTTCACTCAAATTGCAAAAATCTCCCTTGTTGCCCCCTCTTTGGGGCTGCCATTTCGCATCTGTGACATCACGGCAAATCGAAGGTTGTTCGTGGCTTCCTCCATTTCCTTTTTCCGTGCTGACTACGGGTTCCTAGACCAATCGACAGGCCCTAAAATAAAGGAGAAGAATCGCTCTTTCCGTGGGGCCGGTCAGATCAAGGTCCAATCGAAGAGGTCGGCAATTGCTTTGCGGCATCGTGCTCGTGCGAGGTCCCATGCGGGGGGGGTGATCAGCCGCCATTCTCCCGCCGGCTTCCGCCCTCTCGCTCTGCCCCGCGCGTTCACCGCCTCAGATCCCTCCGCGTACTTCCTTCCTCAGAGGCGCACGAGTAGCTCTCCGCTCAAACCTCCCCTCCCTCCCTGCCTAATGGCTCCGCTTACCATCTGCGCGACTTCCCGCCGCCCCTCGCCCATTGGCGTCTCCTCGATCTCACCCTGCTACCACGTACCTGCCACTGCGCTGCCGCGTTCCTCCGCTCCGCCCCACCCTCCTCTCGCCAGGCGCCGCCATCATTCTGATCAGCCATCCATCACTCAGGGTTCTTCCACTTGCTCAGGAGAAATCAACAGACATGCATTTCCCCAGTTTTTCAGTCACGAGCTGCATTGTCTAGCAATCAAGGACCAACGTTCCTTGTTGGGCTCCTCCCACTATCTCTCGCAGTCACTACAGTTTTCTTTCAATCCCTAATACCTTCCATAGCTCTTCTACTTCTCAGCACGCGCTTGCCCTTTTAGATTTTCCTTCCAGCAGCTAGATTTAGCATCGCAAAATGGCGTCATTGCGGCGGTTACCGCCGGGATTCGGCTTCCGCCCGACGGACGAGGAGCTGATCCAAAGCCACCTGCGGCCGAAGGTTGAGGCAGCGGAAGGCCGCCGCGTGGACGACGACGACGACGACGACGACGACGGGCTCATCGCTGAGGTCGACATTCTCCGCTACGAGCCGTGGGACCTGCCCAGCCAGTCGAGCCTCGAAGCCGGCGGCAAGTGGTACTTCTTCTGCACGCTCAAGAAGAAATATCTGAACGGCTCGCGCGTGAATCGCGCCACGGCGAGAGGGTACTGGAAGTCGACCGGCGACGACATGCTCGTGTGCAGCTCGAGCTCGTCGCGCCCAATAGGGTTCCGGAAGAGGCTCGTGTTCTACCGGGGGAGGGCGCCACGTGGCGAGCGGACGGCCTGGAAGATGCACGAGTACCGGCTGGAGCCCGCAGCGCGGCCGCGCGGCGGCGCTTTGGCGGACTACGTGCTGTGCCGCTTGTCCAAGGAGAACCGGCCGCCTGCTGCGAGCGAGCCGCCTGCTGCGCAGCGGATGGATGTTCTGGGGCTCGAGGAGGCCGACCTCCTGCCTCTCGACCCTGCTGCCCCGCCGCTTGTGCCCGTTGTCGTGCCTGTGAGCGACGTGGATCTGGACACATTCTGGGAGACCATTGCTCGGCAAGCTGTGTCGGCTGGGGGGTCTGCAGGGGGCTATGTGGCGGAGCATGGGGCGAGCCACGTGGTGGAGCATGGGACGGGCTATGTGGCGGAGCATGAGGAGTGTCACGTGGCAGAGCATGAGGAGAGCCACGTGGCAGAGCATGAGGAGAGCCACGTGGCAGAGGAGGTCGAGTGGCGCACAGTGTACGAGGAGCTGCCGCCGCTCTCGGAGGGCTTTTCCATCGACGAAAGCCACGCCGCCCTCCCCGCCGCTCCCTCCGCTCCCGCCACTTTTGCTGCACCGGCTCCCGGTGCTTGCGCGCCTGCTGCCCTTGCTGGCGCAGCGCGCGGAGTTGCAGAGCGAGGGGCGCCCAGAGCAGCGCCCGTGCCACCAGCGCCCGCAGCAGGCGCAACCACCATCACCGCGGCCCTCGCAGGGCTGGCTAAGGCCAGAGCGGCACAGGGCGCTGCCGCTCCCCTGGGCCGCACCCACGCGAGAGCAACGGGCCGGCCGAGGTCGCGGCCTGTGCGCGCAGCTGGTGCCGTCATGCACGGCCGGTGCATGCAGGCGCTCAACGCGCCGCCGCAGCTGGCGGGTGGCGGTGGGGCAGCGCGGCTGGTGAGCAGCGGTGCGCCGTCTCGGAATCTGGGCTCACCCGCTGCGCCTCACGCGCAGCTGCCTCTTGCGGAGGTATTGCGGCTGCTGTGTTCTTCTTTCCAAACCTTTCCAAACCTTCTCGCGGAGGTATCGCGGAGGTATTGCGGCCTTATTTGTTTCTTTTCGCCGTTCCGCCTCATGCCATTTCTTGACTATTCCGCACCTTCCTCCTCTCTGTCTCTCTCTGAATCAGGCCGGTGGCAGTGTGGGTGATGAAGATTGTGTCATGGGTGCTCAAGAGTGGGCTAGGGGGATGGACCAGCATGAGGGCATGGTAGCAGCAACACCAGTAGCAGCAACACCCATAGCAGCAACACCTGTAGCAGCAACAGCAATAGCAGCGTTTGATGGCCAGGGTTTGGATCCACACATGGAGCTTAGCGCCGTTGCAGGTACACCGCACTAGCCACCACCGTCCACGCGTGCCTTCTAACCTCTTATTCTCATCCCATCTGTTGCGACCTTTTTCCAAGCCTCTCTTCCATGCCTCTGCTGTGTTTCCGAGAAGCCTTTGCTTCTCCCTTATACGCCTTGACAGTCGCTGATGGCTGTGCCTGTGTCTGCGTGTGTGTCTGCGCGCGTGTGCGTGTGTCTCTGTGTGTGTGTGTGCGTGCGTGCGCGTGTGCAAGTGCGAGTGGGTGTGTGTGTGTGTGTGTGTGTGTGGGTGTGTGTGTGTGTGTGTGTGTGGGTGTGTGTGTGTGTGTGTGTGTGCGTGCGCGCGCGTGTATGTCTGCGCGTGTATGTCTGCGCGTGTGTGTGTGTCGCCCTCTCTGTTCTGTGTGTAGCAGACGTCACAAGGCATTTCAGGGTAGACGACCTGGACGGACACAGGGCTCGCATGACACACCACCCTGCTGCCAATGCTGCTGTGGCAGACGGTGCGTTTGGTGGTCCTGCTACTGGGCCGCCAGGTGCGCTGTGTGTGGTAGGCCAAGAGGAGAGAAGGGTAAGGATACTGCCCGTACCGCAGGATGTTGCGGTAGAGGCCGGTGCGGTAGAGGCTGGTGCGGTAGAGGCCAGTGCGGTAGAGGCTGGTGCGGTAGAGGCCACTGCGGTAGAGGCCGGTGCGGTAGAGGCCGGTGTTCCTATAGCTGACGGCATGTCGGAGCCCCCTTTGCCCGTTGCCCCTACCAGGGCTGCACCCAGCCCACGTGTGGCCGCTGGGCCGCGTCTAGCCCCTTCGCCCATCCCTGCTGCTCGAGTTGCCTCTGCTGCCGCTCCTGCAGCAGCGGAGGTGGTGCTTCCGCCCCCGGTGGCAGCACCAGCAGCAGCAGCAGAAGGGGGGGCAGGCGGGGCAACAGCTGGTGCCGTGGTGGTGGAAGAGGGAGGTGCGGTGGTGGAAGAGGGAGGAGTTTGTGCCCATGCTTGTCCCATAGCAGACCTCATTGCACAGTGTGGGCGGAAAACACGGGCGCAGCGCCATCTGTGGCCGCAGTTCCTGCCTGCTCGGCGCGTCAACCTAGGAGTTGCTTCTGCTGCTGCTGTTCGCACACCAGCAGGAGCAGCAGCTGGAGCAGCAGCAGCAGCAGCTTAGCAGCAGCAGGGACATGGGCAGGTGCAGAGGCAGCGGCGCTCCAGCCTAAGGAGGAGCAGGTTTAGCCGCCACTGTCCTCCTACCGGTGAAGCCTCGTGAGCCAGTAGGGCTCGCAACTGTGTTTTCTAAGGATGGCGGTGCAGCAACCCCTGACGGTTGCCACAGGATGGGTTGACCGGCCGCAGCAGCCAGATAAATCTGCAGCGTTGCTTGCATAAATAAAAGGCGTGACCAGGGCCATAGGTTGTGGTGCAGTGACAGGAGAGGAGTTGGATGTGTGTGTGTGTTGGCAGCAAGGGGCAATTGAGAGAGCTGGGGAGGCTGGAGCTGTCTCCCTGGACGCTGCTTGCTCTGCAGCTGCCACCGCTAGTGGTGTCAGTGAGGCGATGGCTGCATGAGCAGAGGCTGCTGCTGTGGGTGGCCTTGGTGCTGTGTTGTGTTGCTGTGGGCGTGCTCTTGGCACCTGCGTGACATGTTATGCCTCGTTTCATTGCTACTTAAGGTGAACATTAGAGAAGCGGGTTGCTTGTGTTAGAATTTAAAGTGATTGAGTAGGATCGTATACTTAGGATGGTAGCTTCCTGTTGTAGCGGAAGTCTTTGTACCGTCAGGCCCCGGATAGTAGCGCCCCTGGGGGTATAAAAAAACACTGTTTTTTAGGGGGTGCGCTTATAATCGAGGAAATTTATAAGCGCCGGCGTTTATAAAATGGCAAAACGAATTTCTATCTGTTTTACACCAAAATGTAGATCTCGTTCTGCCAATTGTAATCGAGTCGAAAACATATGGGGTCGCGAACCTGATTCTCGCGCAACTTGGCAGGGAGTGATTCCTTGCCAACTCAAACTGACAGAATGACAGCACATGCTGACTAGACGCGCAAAAGTTGAGATCACAGTGTGGGAAATCGAGTTTGTAGCTCGTTTCCCTGATAATGTGAAATTCGTTTCTGCATTTCGTCAGGTTTTCAAATGAAAAAAAAAACATGCGCTTATAATAAATCATCTTTTTTTAGGGGGTGGGCTTATAATCGAGGACCGGATATAAGCGCCGTCATCCTTTTATAAGCGCCGGCGCTTATCCGAGGCCTGCGTTTCTATCCGGGGCCTTACGGTATGAGTTAAAGCCAGTGTAGGAGGCTTTGTCTAGACTAATGTAAGCCCATGTAGTGATATGTTTCAGGATCTAGGTCTCTGAAATCAGATATATTATAAAATGACAAGCATGCGAAATATTTAGCTAGAGTAAAGTACCTATTCGCCTACTGTACTGTGCTATTCGTGTTCTGAAACGGTACGTGACTATTTGCGAGGCCTATAGCTACTTGCTGACGTCATCCTAGGGCGCGTAGCGCTTTGCTGGCGTCAGCCTATCGGTACTTTACTATTCACACTGTACTAACTATGCTACACGAATTCCTTGAAGTGCTTAAGTCTCGATATTATCTCAACACTCCCCTTCACATCTAGGAGTTCGGTGTGTCAGAATCAACAGAAGGAATGAATGAACTAGGCAGTAGGTGGGTATAAGAATGAAAACCTAAAAGTGTTGTACCCTGTATTGACTACCCCACTACAGCAGATATGTTTGACACACCCCCATTGGCAAAGTGGGGGAGAACAAGGGTCACCAGACCAGTCAAGAAAGGCAAAGCAAGCTCGGGGTGGATCACAAAGTCACAACGCAGTCTGAGCACAAGCAAATGGCCACAAGGCCAGTTCACATGCAAAGTTATATAAAGGAGAATAAACAATACAGTGAACACAACATAGCAAGTGTAAGCATGCAGGTATAAGTACATAGAGTACAGTACAAGCAGAGTCAAGACGTAAGCAAGTGAGGCACAGTAGGTACAAGACCAAGAACTGTACGGAAACGCTGATGATCACAAGGCGGAAGTGCCTTGGTGAAAACATCAGCAGTGTTGGCCTGAGAGGCCACGTAAGCAAGACGAAGCTGACCACGCTGCTGCAACTCTTGAGCAAGGAAGTAACGCAGAGCAATGTGCTTCGTTCTGTGCTCCAGTCTGTGCTCCTGACACAAGGCCAGCATGGCCTTGTTGTCGACGTACAGAACTGGAGAAGAACGAGGCGCCTCTCCCAAGTCGGTCAGCAGGTAGGTAAGCCAGCGTAGCTCCTGTGCAGCCATGGCCCCAGCGTAGATCTCAACCTCACAACTAGAGCTGAGAACAGAAGACGAGCGGGTAGACCGCCAAGAGACAGAGCCGTAGCCAAGACTGAAGGTGTAACCATGTGACGACCGCTGCGTAGCCAAGTCGTTAACCCAGGAGGCGTCAGCGTGACCAGTGAGGACAACTCGAGCCCGTCCTCCAATGACTAGCCCCATGCCCGACGTACTGCACAAGTAGCGCAACACCCTCTTCGCAGCATCCCAGTGCACCTTTCGGTGCCTACCGGGAGCCACGTAGTGAGCCAGAAGGCTGAGAGGGTATGCGAGGTCAGGTCGTGTGCAAGTCATCAGGTACATGAGGCAGCCCACAAGCTCTGGATACGGGCCACTCGGCTCTATGGACTCGTCCGAAGGTGGAGCTGAGAGCGAGAGACCGGTAGGCAGAGGAGTGGACTGTGGCGAGGAGTACGTGAAGCCGAAGCGCTGAAGGACCTGCTGCACCATGTGTGACTGAGTCAAGGTAATGGTGCGCTGTGCTCTGTCCCGGGTGACCCGCAAGCCAAGATAGCTTGTCAGTTCACCCAGGTCTGTGCACGTGTGTCTCTTCTGCAGCTCGGACTTCACGTGGGCGAGTGCCTCAGTGTCACCAGTAGTAAAGACGAGGTCGTCTACGTACACGAGAACGTAGAACGGCGGCAGAGTGGTGTCAGTGCGTAAAAACAGAGAAGGTTCAGCAGTGGAAGGAGCAAAACCAAGAGCAGCAAGATTCGTCCTCAGTGTGTCGTGCCACTCACGGGGTGCCTGGCGGAGACCGTAGACTGGCCGCCGGAGGCTCCACTGGGTACCAGTAGGAAACGACCCAGTGAAGCCAGGAGGGCGGCGCAGCCAGATCTCCTTGTGCAGGCTGCCCTGGAGGAAGGCTGTGCTGAAGTCAAGCGAGTGGAGCTCGTAGTCACGCTGAGCAGCAACGTGTAGCAGTACCCGAAGAGTGGTCATCTTCGGGGTAGGGGAGAAGGTCTGAAAGAAGTCAACTCCCTGTCGCTGACTGAAGCCACGTGCAACGTAACGCGCCTTGAATGCAGGCGGAGAACCCGGCGGCCGCTTCACCCTGAAGATCCACATGCCACTGACGATGTTCGCCCCAGGTAGGGCAACCTCGTCTACGTAGGTGCCTGTGGACTTCCAGGAAGCCATCTCGGCGTCCATGGCTGCCTGCCACTGAGAGGAGTAGGGACCCTCTATCGCCTCTGCGTAAGAGCGCGGGGTCGGGATGTCTGGTGCATCCGGGTCTCCCTCAGGGGCAAGCAGCATGGACACGAGATGAGGTACAGCAGCAGCAAAGCACTCAAACTCCTCCTGTCTGTCCTCAAGAACGTCCGTACCAAGAGCACACTCACCCCCGACGGACGGAGGACAGACAGACGCAGACGCAGACTCAGCAACAAGACTGGTGGCGAAGTCTAGGCGACAGGCTGCAGCAAAGTCAACAAGCTCATCAACGAGAGCAGACGCAGCAGTGGACTCAAACAAAGGGTCAGTGACAGTAGTGGCTAGAAAGCGCGAGACAGTAGGACTAGCAGCACGAAGGGAGTCAGACCCGGGTCCGGACCGGCAGGAAGAGAGGACGCAGGAGGAGACGGCAGAGGGACACGCTGTGGAGCAGTGGAAGGACGCAGAGTCATTGAGTGAGTGCCAGGGACAGGAGGAGGACGCGGACGCGAAACACGACGACCAGTGCGAACAGTGCGGACAGGCGACTCAGAACGAGACTCAGGGGACCCAGGACGCGACTCAGGCTCACGATGCTCCGTAAGACCTCTAGTCGGTCCAGAGTAAGGAGAAGGACCAGGCAGTGGAGAGGCCGGCTGGAACTAAGACTGTGACCGGACAGGCGGTGGACTCAGTAAGGGAGGAGTAGGACCAAGAACCTGCTGAAGGAGCGGAACGAAGTACGGCCGCGGCCACGCAGTGCCTCCAGAAACACCAGAGATAGCACCAGGACCCTCAGCTCCAGGGTCTCGATTAACAGCTCCCGCCGCTCCAGTACCTCCAGTACGAGCACCGCCAGGTTCAGCGACTCCAGTAGCTCCAGCACCAGCAGCACCTCCAGCATCACCAGCACCTCCAGTACCAGCAGCACCTCCAGCAGCTCCAGCACCAGAAGCACCAGTACCTGCAGCGCCAACGCCTGCAGCACCACCAGCCCCAGCAGCTCCAGTACCTCCAGTACGAGCACCTCCAGGACCAGCGGCTCCAGAACCATGTCAGAATCAACAGAAGTCATGAATGAACTAGGCAGCAGGTGGGTACAAGTATGAAAACCTAAAAGTGTTGTACCCTGTATTGACTACCCCACTACAGCCTAGATAGACTATAGCAGATATGTTTGACACGGTGTAGTTACCCAGTTGTCTCAGAAACTCCGCTGAGCTGGTTGCAGTGATGAAATTTCTGTCGTGTCAGTTTCTTGGTAAGTGAGTCAGCTGCCATGTCTCCAGTAGGACAGTAGACAAGGCGCATTCTCCCCTTGTCGATCGCATCCTTGACGAAGAAGTAACGCAGTGAGATATGTTTCGTGCGATTGACGAAGCCGGGCTTGTTGGCGATGGTAATTGCACTCTGGTTGTCGCACTGCAGCGTAAACTGATTCGGCGTGACGAATTTTGCTTCGTCGATTAGTTCCTGTATGTATAATCCTTCTCGGGTTGCAGCACACGCGGCAATGAATTCTGCTTCAGCCGAGGAAAGTGACACGAGTTCCTGCTTCGATGAATTCCACGAGATTGGGCCAATTGGCTCGAGACGAAAGATATAGCCCGTTCGTGACCGACGATCTGACGTGTCACCAGCGTGGTCTGCGTCAACATATC